CACACACACACACACACACACACACACAATTCCTAGCAAATAGGAACAAAGTTGTATCTGATTGTTCCTGGAAGTGCAGTCACTCAAGGTAGGCCTCCTCACTTTGTTCTATCCTCAAGCAAGACGAAGCAAAGTTCATGCACATTTATTTTGTCATGTGCATCACCCATACCTAAAATAAATCCTGGTGCAGCAGCAGAAACACAATGCTACAGAGAGCAAGGGGCTTTCCAAAAGAGACAACCCTCTCAGGCTGGATAAAGATCAGAGCAGGGGCGACTCTGGCTGCAAAGGGCCGGCCCCTCAGAGGTCTCTGGTGACAAGCTAATGGTGAGGTGCTGGGCTGGGTCAGGCTGTGCAGAGCTGAGCTAGGCAGAGCAGGGTACGGCTGGGCAGGTCAGGGCAGACACAGCTCCCATTAAATCTTCAGTGCAAAAAGCAGATCAACCTGATGCTGTTAACATGACATTCTCTCCATTCAGAAAAGGCTGCTTCCCACCTGGTGCAGGCCCACTGAGTTGGGGTCAGCATGCCCCGAGGCCTCAACCCTGGCATCAATAATGCTCTCTTGGGTGTGTTTTCCATCCCTCCACCCCTTCTACGCAGTCTGAAATCCAAGGCAGCCCTGCCGGGAGAAGCATTACAATACAGTGGCTTGGTTTCTTAGCTGCTGTTTTCTACACTTTGATGTTAAATATAGTGACTTCAGAAGCAGTGAGTACCAGAAGGCAAACGAGGGCTGGTTTTAGCATTTTGCATTCAGCAATATCCTTTGGTGAGAATGGAGGGAAAAACGCCAAATGATCTGCCTCCCCAATAATCGGGAGTGTGAGCAGGAGCCCAGAGGTACTGGCACAAAGGAACAGCATCCAGGCTGTTTCCTGCCAGGTGTGGAGAAAGAAGAAAAAGGGGTTTGGAAAGGCAGAAAGCTCATCTGCTAATATGCACCAATAATCAGAGATGAACCTTCTGTATAACTAGATGGTAGTGAGGCAGGATGGCATCTACCAGTCAGGTGGAAGGAAAAATCAATCCTGACATTCTACACAGAACCATTATT